GAGTTCAAGCCAGCGCATCAGAGGAAGAAGCAGAAAGTGACCAACGGCGCACAACACTAGAGATTCTGCATGTTAGGTATAGAATGTTGAGTCCTTAGAACATTTGCATGTGACATAACTGCACAAATGGAGTTGATTTCTTACCCGTCAATTCTACGGCAATGCACCAGGTGATTAGTAGTATGCACAGGCGATGACCGTGATGCACACCTGTCCAGCACTGCACAGCTTGAGAACGTCAAATCAGAAACAACCATTACACATAACTTCTAGGTTAGGTACCATCTATGCATAACAAGCGAGACTGTGAGGTTTGAAATCGAATCCATCTCTTTGGGCAGACTGAGCACATCTCGTCCCAGACGTTTAAGGGTCCATCAGTGCAAATCTCAAGCGGCATCGCGTTTGTGACGAAATGCCATGATGCAAGAGATGGGAAAGCGAGAAAGCCGATTCCATTAGCGGCAGGGGTCAGAGCTGTCGGAAAATAGTAGGCCCGTCCCGGGCTCTGGCCAAACTTCAAAGCTCCGCTCCCCAGGAGGAACGATTGGAAAGTTCACAATTCACCTCGATGTTCGGACCTGGAGGAGTGTAGATGTCTCGTTATGGCTGCGAACTCCCTTGCTTCGAGGATCTATGACTCAGAAAGTGCGCCGCTTGCTGTCGTCATAGGTATACTGCAAGCGCTTCATTGACCTGTTCGTCGCCCCAGCCGCTACTGGTACCTCCTTCTCCCATCCAAGATTCGTCCATCGTACGTTGTACTGCAGTTACATCATCTTTATGAGGCCATTGCTGAAGCATGACGGAGAGAATTGCCTTGCGGAGCTGATCATGGGACCCCAATTCGTACAAAGAAAGATTCCTGCAGTGCAAGGTGCTTTCCCGTCGCTGCCATCCATCCTACTCCACTCCAGCTCAGCACCCATCAACAGTCTTGAAATGCTTCGAACACGCATCTCACCCACCCTCGCCAGAGCCGCTCATCAGTTCCAGCATCTAAGGTACACGATTGCAGCATCAACTCGAGCCATGTCTACCATCAGCGAGGCTATTGTCAAGGACCACCGCGAACTGGAGCAGTATTACAATGAGGTAATCAACAGCAACGACCATGACCACCAGCAACGCTTCGGAAACCAGTTCACCTGGGAGCTTGCCCGACACTCCGTAGGCGAGGAGCTTGTTGTGTACCCCGCGATGGAAAAACACATGGGCTCCAAAGGCCACGACATGGCAGAGAGTGACCGCAGTGAGCATCACAAGGTACAGTGGATCCTTTCTTCAGGTCTGTAGCATTACTGACTCTTAGTAGGTCAAGCTCCTGCTCAAGGAATTTCAGAACATGAAATCCAGTGACCCAAAGTACACCTACAAGATCAAAGAAATTTGGGGCCTTCTTTCGCAGCACATCAAAGAGGAGGAACAAAATGACTTGCCAGCACTCGAAGAGTCCCTCAAAGCACAACCGAACTTGTCCGAGTCCATGGCTACCAGCTTTGGCCGGACTAAGGCTTTCGTTCCGTCTCGCAGTCATCCCAGTGCCGGAGAACACCCACCGTTCGAGACCGTCATGGGTCTTTTGACGGCTCCGGTTGATCATGTTGCGGATATCTTCAGGAAGTTCCCCAACCAGACTGTCAGCCCCAATCCGTCTACAAAGTGAAAGTAGCCCGAGGCGTGGATTATGGTCTGGTTCGACAGGTGGCTCGCAGACTTGGTTGCCTCGACCACCTTAAGCCTACAAAGTGTCTTCTCTTCTCAAGCAATGGCAATTAATTCATGTATTGAGCAATACTACATCGTGCATGTCAGCGCTCCACTCCCGATTATATTACGGATGTTCGCTGAGTGTCAAGTATGGTAACCCTCTACACAACCAATGCGAGATGGTCGAGAGCTAGCGTAGGGACCTCACCATGCACGCTACTAGAAGGATCCGAGCATGCCAGTGTATCCTAGAATCCGACGCGATTGTTGGCCTTGGCAGTGATATCGTGACGTACTCGTACGGTCATTGTGAGCATGGAAATTCAGCCATCTCGTTCCATCATGATGGAACCTACCACGGTCATTGCATGTCCGTGCTATCATGACGTACAACCACTATGGTCAGTATAATGGCTTGCTGGCCCTGCTATTTCAGAGGGTTGTAAAACTTGTCAATCTCGTTGGTTCTCCATCGTGTCTGCAGTCATTGCTATGGAAGTCAACAGCAATCAATACGGCATATCTCAACACCCTCTGGAAGCCATTGCAACCGGAATTCAGGGCGCAATGTCTGCCACTGCCAAAGATACTCGAGCCAGTCACATGAACAGTGCCAATGAAGGCCCGGCTCAAATCATTGGAAAGGTGTCTGGCTCTGTCGCCGGAGGGAAACGAGCGGATGATGGCCCGTATTTCACGAATAATGAAGGAGTTCCGTTTCCAGATCCGTTAGTTCATCTTCATACGATTACGTTAGTTACTAAACTGACCAGACAACAGTGCACATAGCAAGACCGTGGGCGGAATCCCTGTCGCCAGTGATGTGTTTCTCTTCCAGTACGTCGAAATTCCCTAGCGATGTGTCCACAACTTACTGTAGAAAAGGAAACAACAGCATTTCAATCGCTCGAAGAATCTGGAACGAATGGTGCATCCATGTGGAAGTGGAGCGTTCGGTTACTTTGAATGCACAGATGATGTGAAAGGACTTACCGTAAGTACTCAAAACGCCGTGTATCTAACTACAATAATTAACCAACAAACGACAGAAAGCAAATTTTCTCTCGACCGTCGGGGAGAAGACTCCTGTATTCGTCCGGTTCTCAACTGTAACACTTGGCCGCGAGTTTCCGGACGAAGCCCGCAATCCCCGGGGGTTTGCCATCAAATTCTACACGAAGGAAGGCAACTATGATATTGTTGGACTGAACTTTGTAAGTCAGGACCGATCGAGTGCGGATTATCGTCCAGTGATCTGACTTGATAAAGCCGATATTCTTTTGCCGCGATCCAATTCAGGGCCCGGATGTCATCCGCTCGCAAGCTCGAAACCCAGCAAACTTTCTTCTTGACACGGACGCCTTATTCGATCTGCTCGCAAACACACCCGAGAGCAATCATGCAGGGTTGATGTTCTTCAGTGATCACGGCACGCCTGTTGGTTGGCGCTTCAACCATGGCTACGGCTGCCATACTTTCAAGTGGGTCAACGCCGAAGGCAAATTCGTCTACATCAAATACCACTTCATCGCCAATCATGGCCAGAAGCAGTTCACTGATCAGGAGGCTGTTGCAATTTCTGGTGAAGACCCGGACTACTCCAAGCGAGACCTTTGGGACGCCATCGAACGAGGAGAGGCTATCGAGTGGACCGCCCACGTTCAGATCATGCAACCAGACGAAGCTGATCCGGAAAAGCTTGGATTCGATCTTTTCGACGTCACAAAAGTGTGGCCACGTGACAAGTTTCCAATGTCAAAGTTTGGCCGTCTTGTCCTCAACAAGAACCCGGAGAACTTCCATCGTGATGTCGAGCAGGCGGCATTCTCTCCAGGAAGCATGGTGCCTGGTATCGAAGACTCCCCTGATCCCCTCCTCCAGTTTCGAATGTTCTTCTACCGCGACGCTCAGTACCACCGCATCGGTGTCAATCTACACCAAGTGCCGGTGAACTGCCCCTTCATGTCTCAATCCTTCTCGTCGCTCAATTTTGACGGCCAGATGCGGGTTGATGCAAACCATGCTGGAAACAAGCAGTATGTGCCAAACAGCTTCGCCCACAAGTTCCGGCCGGATGTAGCAGAAGCTCCGTACCAAGTCAGCGACAACATTGTCAGCCGCAAGAGTCACTACTGGCATGAGGGCAAGAAGAGCGATTACGAACAAGCGACGGAGCTGTGGACACGAGTGATGGGCGAGCAAGAGAAGAAGAATACTCTCGGCAATACTGCGAAGTTGCTCAGCAAGGTTAAATACCCTGATATCCAGGTAAGCAGTTAACAAGATATATACTTCATCTAGTCTTCTTTGATCTAACACAGGAAACAGAAGAAATACCTGGCGCAGATCTACAACATCGCCCCCGACTACTCTCAAGGCGTGTATGATCTCTTGTCCAAACAGACCTTCGGGTTTGAGGAGGTTCCCAAACTTGCAGAGACGGCGCAGGAGTGGTACAAGGAGCCGAAGTTCAGGCCAAGCTCGGGAGAGAGACTAACGGGCTATGCGCCTGCTGGGTCTGTATACAATTGACGGAATGTTAAAAGCTGATCGTAGAATTTTCATGCAATATCAATTTCCACCGTACCCTTCTGACACTAACTCTTAAAGTCTAAATTGACAGGTCTCAATCGACTGGGACGTCCATACCGAACCGGTACTTATGAAGCAACTTGCTCGCTAAAATAAATGAAATATTCGGAGTATCAAACCTGGTGACAGGAGCGACAGCGAAAGGTGATCTGCGAATCAACCACAGGGAAGATCTTAGAATGCAGTGTAGAACTGAATGTGTAGAGATGCTTGCGTGACTATGAAGGCTAACCAGAGCTCTATATACCCGAGGAATGAAGTAGAAAAGGAGAAGATGATGATCCAGCTGTACACGGTACAGGACTCAGCTATGCAAGGTACAAGACTCAGCTGTGTAGGGATTAGGAGCGAGGCTCAGCTCCTATGGTACACCAATCAGGTTTAATACGGAGCTAGCACAAGCACCACAACCAGAAATTCTTCCCTTCACAAATATAAACAAACACAGTCGAACCATATCATTCCACCTCGAAACTGGCGCAATGGGACAGCCTCTGATGGAACATCTTTCTCCCTTCTTCCAATTCTCCATCATACGACCTGCAATCCCTACAGGTGTGATACAGAACCGTGAAGGTCGGCACCCTTTAACTCGTTATACATACCAACTCTTGTTCCGGACCACATCCTCCCCTACCTAGAACAATTTGCGATATCGCAAGATTTCCAAGCATCTCTGAGGACTGACCATTCAAATAGCCTCTTCCCTTCCGTCACGTCTTTTGCCCCGCTTCCCGTCAACAGAACTGCTATTCCTCACCGCTGCTCATCTTCCCTCCAGCGCCAGCACCCTCGCACATTTCTTCTGGGGCCTTCAAGTCCTCATCTCCGGTTTCCGTGCGCTCCTCGCCATCGACTTCAGCCTCAGATCCAGGCGTGACGACCCGAGTCTGCTCTTCGCGACCATCTGTACCTCGGTCCGTACCCGCGGCGTTCGAACAAGCGGCATCTCTACGATGCATGCTTGCGATGCGCGACTCCCTAATCGACGTCATCTCGGAGAGAATCAACATCATATTTGAAATGCTCGAATCTACGCTCGAGGAGGTCGAATCCATATTCGAGAGGCTCGATTTGGTGCTTGAGAGGCTTGGTCCCATACTCGAAATACTCGTTTCCAGACGCGAGATACTCGATTGTAAGCCTGAGACGCTCGTTTCCACGCTTGAGATGCCGGAGTTTAAATTGGAAAATCCCAATTCTATTTTGTCCAATTTTGCGTTGATGGATGCGTATCGCTCGCGGTGTCTGGCGAGAAGTTCCTTTGGGTCGTTCATTGTGGTGGGGTTCGAGGTCTTCTGGATCTACCTTCCTTTTTGCAGGGCTAAGAAGATGTGAAAGGTACCTGGCGGTTTGTCGAGGGTCCGGTATTTCGAGGCCTCAGCGGTAGAGCAATGGGTCGTTTATTACTTGCTGTATCAGTGTAAAGGTTGGCCTGGCCTGGAATCATTATCAATGTACGATTATGTTGACTGCAATGTAGAAGGGAAAAGAAAAGATGTGGGAGATGGACAGGTTACTTATAAGAAGTAGGTGGCTAGGTAGAGGCCTAGTTTAGGTAGACTGTTGAGAAAACGTTTCAACCCTAACATCAGAGCGACGTCCTTACTTGCCTTCCGGATCTCCATAACATCCAAGCTGAGGAACGACAGAATAGTGGTGTATTAGATGGTAGCTATCTCTTCAGAGTTGGACAAGGACCTCTAAAGCTTTTCACGATATCCAAGGCCAAGTACAGGTGCTGATCCCGGGAATGCAAACCAAAGCTAAGCACCCTCTCTACGGGTGCTCAGATAATTACCTTATCTAGAAAAGTTCCTCCTACCCTGGAGTTGCCGACTTCCCTCGCTTAGACTTTCGAGAAAGCTCCTCCCGCGGGTATAGCTCCTGAATTGTTTTTCAACTTCACTTCTCTTACATCTTGAATATTTCTTGCCAGTGGCAGCGACCTCTCCAAGAGTTTCAATTTCTGGTAATTAGAAATACATCTGACACTTCTTCAAGAAAGGCTTCACAATACCACTGGAACTCTTCAATAAATGTCAGATTCATGGACGAAGATCACACTTCCGGAGCCCTAAACGCCCACGACAGTCCATTTCTCCAAAACAACACACAAACCCCTATCATTTCTCTGCAACCGCCACCCAAGCAACCATCTTGAATTGCAACCCGTCCTCCCTGACCACCCTCCTCAAATTCTCATTCCACACAGTGGTTCTCTCTTCCTCCGTCATATCCCTCCTAAAAGGTTCGTAAAACGTACTTCCCAGCAACTCAACAAATTCCTCTACATCATCAAGTTTCACCAAAACCTCCTTCTCGCTCACAGAGATCTTACTTTTCTCGAACCCGCCTTCTTCGAGTACAGACGCCAGATACCCCTCTTTAGTCCAGTCTATACTGACCGGCCACTCCATCTCCGCTTCCGGCTTGATCGTTTTTTGGACCTTGTACGCTAGCTCCATGTTCCCGGCTTTCTTCCAGACGGTCACGCCAGCAGCGCCGCCGGGCTTGAGTGTACGATAGATCTCACGCGCACCCTTCGCAGAATCGGCGAGGAAGAGTCCGAAGTTGGTGATGCTGTGGGTGAAGGTAGTATCCGGGATAGTAGAAAGGTCGGCCGAGTCCATCACTTCGGCGGTGATGATATTGGACAGATCTTGCTCCATGACAACGGACCTAAGGACGTTGACCATTCCGTCAAACTTGTCGGTGCAGTGGATTTTGGGTGGAGGGGTGATGTTGAGGCGTTTGCAGCGGTCGAGGATATCGAGGGCTGTAACGCCGGGTCCGCAGGCATTATCGTGAATGACGGAGGAAGACGTAATAGGTGGAATTAGGTCGAGTAAGTGAATGGAGACTACACGAGTAACCCCGGCGGATTGTTTAAGGTATGATGCGGCGATGCTGTTGAAATCGAGGTGGACGGTGGGTGCAGACATGGTGTTGATCTCGAGTTTCACAAGGAGTGAAAAGTATGAATTAAACGGGAGAGAATACTGAGAGAAGATACAAACTCGATTGCTGTCTATCTATATAGTGTAAAAATTGGACATCGTAGCCTTCTCGGCGCCTTTTGCAGTCGCCTCCTTGGCCTGGTGTCAGATGGGGGGAAAACCCTCCGAAAAGTCACCGTATGGTACGGCTCGTATACAGTATAGTGAGGACGAGAAAGAAAGACGGGTAGAGTTAAGCTGATACCCGTTTCTGCAAGCCGGAAGAAAGGAGGAAAGACACAAAAATAGGAATGGAACTCCCCTGGTGAACTTCCTCGACGCCGTCAGCATCCGGTGAGGATGACACCCGGACACGGGACACCGAAAGTCCGAAGTCACGTGCAACAATGTCAAATACTCTTGTCTTTAGAAATCACAGACCTGGGCACGCTGGGGTAGTACAAAACCATCGCCCCATCAGATCCTAAAAGAAAACTTTCACGAGAAGAGCTTTCCTGGAATCAAACAACATCCCACTCCATGTCTGCATCGTCGTCTCCAGCATCTCCAGCAATATCAACATATTCATCATCTTCGTCCAGATTGTCAAGATTCATATAGTCTTCATCGTCGTCCTCCAACGTCCTCTTCCTCTTCCTGTTCTGCTTAGACACTATCCGTCGACTGTCCTTTCGCTCCTTCGTTCTCCTCCTCTTCGTCCTCTCAACTTCGAGATCCTTATTCGCCGTTGTAATTCCAAGCCAAAACGCCCTTCTCAGCACAAGATCGTACTCTTGGAAAGTGGCCATATCGAGAGGAAACTCGCTTACCAAGCTTTGCGTAGCTTCACTAAGCGCCCTTGAATTCGGAGCATTGCTGATAACCCAGCCTTGAACGATGCTATACACAAAGCAAGCGATCAATTCCTCGTCGGCTGTGATACCGAAAAGTACACACAGCTTTCCGATAGCTTCTCCAGTAGTGCCTTCGATTGAGATATCGTCGTCGAAGAAGGCCTTCCGAAGCATAAAGTTTCTCGCGTGTTTGTGGAGAGTAGATACTCGAAGGCTAGAAGAGACGGCCAGAGAAAGTTCCACTAGGTCGAGGATCTCCTCCAAAGGAACGCTACTGAGAATGTGCTCCTCGGCGATTTCGCCCCAGAAGAAGTACTCTCGGGTCGCCTTGTACGGGTGGTAGTCCACCATCTTCTTTTTGTGAATCTCACTCATGATCTCTATTGCGGAGAAGACTTTGTTGCTGTTACCGGCATCCCGGCTGTTGAGGGCAGCGATGAACTGCGGCTCCGGGACTCCATCCCTTGCAATAGTTTTTTTTCGCTTTTGGATCGCGATAGAGAGAGGCCACAAAAGCCCATCAATCGCGGAAATGAACGGAGTCCCGACTCTTTTCCTAGCCAGCTGATTCGCTGCCATATACAAGAACCAGTCATTCGACGAAGAGGGCGGTAGGGGTACAGGATACGAAAGATGTCGAAACTGCTCCGCCCGGAAATCCCGACCTTGTCCCCAGTTTCGCTCTGCCGATTCATCGTTGAAATGGCGAAATAATAGAGGAGGCTGGCTCGGATCCTGGATCCCGCGAGGACTCCGATTGTCGGTTTGGCTCTGCAGATGCGTTTGTTCGTCGTCTCTAATCGGGTTTTGGCTGTAGCTCTGGCTATAGGTATGGAGCTGGTTTTGAATGTGGTCTCCGCCTTGACCGTGAGCCTGGCGACAATGCTGACTGCTATTGCTCATCACAATCGGTTGATGTTCGACCTCTCCACCTTGATCTGTGGATCCGGACTTGCGCTGATATGCCCATTTGTGATTCTATCAGATGACGAGGGCGTTATCGGACCGGAGCATCTTCGTCGGCTTGCGAGAATTTCCGGCCTCTTTGGCTTCTTGGAGAAATTCGTTTCCAAACAGCCGATAGCATCTGTATCTCGGTATTCACGAGGCCGACCGGGGTTCGCTAATGCGCTATAGTACTCCAAACGGCGACGAATCGGCTGGTATGTTTCCCTCACCATTGAAAGGGGTATCTTTGCAGATTTCCGTCCATAGTCCGCCGGTATCGGAAGCTTGTAGTTGAACGAATTATGCGCTAACGTTGTTCGTCGTAAAGCAATTCGGCTGCGCAGGATCTAGAGAAAATTACGCGTTCATCACCTATAGAACATGAGTTAGTTTATCAAGCGGAGTTAGATGGATACTGGCGACATTGGACTTACTATAGAGATTTCCTTCCAGCTTGCCGTATACCATCTTCTCAGAATCAACAGAACCTTCGTCTCCGCTTCCTTCCATTGGTGTTTTGGCGGCTGGTATTTCGAAGACAGAGCTATTAAGCCAGGGATGACTTCGTCATCTTCGGTGTTATTTCTTGGGTCTGGCGCTGACTGGCGAGAGATCCGAAACTGATTCAGATTCCCAGAATACGCAAAGCTGCGTATGAAACCGGCGCCTTTCCTCGGGCTACGCACTTCGACATGACTGAGGACTCGAGGCCTAGCCATTATCTCTTCGCTTGGATTGTGACGCATGAAAAGATGATGAGAGGCAGAAGTCGCTTTGAGGAATAGGTTGTAGAGAAAGTTAAGGACGCGTCGGAGCGCGTTGTCAAAGAAGTAGATACGAGTCGAAGCGAGAGCTAATCTCGCTTATTGACGAAGCCGTCACCATAGAAGCTGTGGAATTGCGGTCTGCTATAGTAATTTCGTTGTGGTTAAGGGGAAATGATACCTCACATCGGACCGTAAGGCTGTGTAAAGAGATCAAAGGGCGCCCTCCGAGGAAGACCTTGTAAATAGATGACGTAGGACGATGAAAAAGTAGAGCTAGAGAATTCTATCTGACTGCCACTCTCGTGAAGAACCAAGATTGAGAGAAGAAGAAGCAATGTAGTGGAACGGTGTGTGGGGTATATGTACCAATTCGATCACAACTTGCTCCTTATGACCCAGCTTTAATGTTTTTACCTCCCAGATGCAGGGCTAGGTGGCCTCTCTCCCGTGGTCCAAACCTTCTTCTCGCTCCCTAGCACAAATTCCAATCTGCCCCCTTCTTTGAAAACATCATCCCACGTGATCCACCCCCTATCCCACTCCACGCCATTCACCTTCAACGACTGTACGTAGAATGCCGTATCGCTGTTTCCGCCCGAGCTCGTAATTTCCAACGTCTTTCCTTCGCCTAGCTGGATAGTCATCTGCTCAAACCACGGAGATCCGACCAAAAAGGTCGTCTGGCCCGTCATAGGATACAGCCCTATGATATTCCACAGAATCCAGCTCTGCATGGCGCCGGCATCTGAATTACCCGGCAGACCGGTGGGACCGAGGCCGTAGTTATCTTTCGCTACTCTTCTACTCTGCTGAACTGCCAGATCCTGTCGATTGACAAAACTATAGAGGTAAGGAGAAGTGAAAGACGGCTCGTTCCCAACGTCGAAGATGTCATTTGCCGGATCCATCAGCGCGTCAAGACGTTTGATAAAGCCCTCCGTACCATTCGAATAGGCGATTACAGTATCGATATCGTGGTGGGCGTTCATGCTGTATTCGAACGGCTTCCCTTCATAGTATGCGTCGCCCCAATAGCAGCCCCCACAGTCGAGAGGGTCTTGATGGATGAAGCTCCCATTTTCTGCACGCGGAAC